CACCCATCACAATCAGGTTCATTGTACTGTTTATCTGTACCGAATGAATCTTCAAAATCACACCTGCTGAATAAGAAAATCAAAAAAAAAAACACTTATACGTGTTTTAAGACAGAACAGTTACGAGAGCAAAAAACTATTGTCAATGCTTCCCGAGTATCGCTTATGTTCAAGTGCTGCTGGATTTCGCCGTTGGTTAACGAGGTCTGGAGTGATGGAAAGTCAGGAGAACTGCAGTTTTCGATCGTTTCAATGAATCGAAGGCTGGAAATGGAGTTTGACGCAGAAGCAGAGAGCCGGCCGCCCACAAGAACTTCACCGTCAAACTGTTTTGAATGCAACTGAGACGTTTCCGTCGTCGTTAACGACTCGCATGCTGGCCGATGATTTTGACTATGCTCTCGGGACGATTCCATCATAGAACAATTGCATGTGTAACCAAAATAACCAAAAATTCAAATGCATGAAAGATTGTGAGCAAAAACGAAAAAGTCACCAACCTTGGACAAGATTTAGATAAGAAAAGCATGGTAAGTAGCTTCATACACACACCATGGATAACTATACAGCAATAGGAAAACCATTCTATCACTCCAGTTATCTTCACAACCGGTCGATTCTTTTCGTAATCGTCGAGAAATCTGTTTATTACCGAAAAGGCCACCGAACCTATGGTCCGATTTCTCCACGAAAGCTATAGAAGAAAGATATGATGCTCAGCGAATTCCTAGAGCGAGGAAAAACCACTGAGCTACTCTTGCAAGCGATAGGAAAAAATGGAAGTGATGCTGGTGCCCGCTCGAGTGACTCGATGATCAACGGGACGACAAGTGATACCCAAAAAACAGCAAGTCCCCTATAGCCGACAATGGGCCTGGTTTGACAAGCACGACAAGAAATTCGACGAGAAAAAAAAGGTTGCGACACCGCATCCGTGAAAAATCTCAAAAACAAAGAACACAATGCATCCCCACTTATAACACGCTGTATCCACCAACACATACGCTCACGGGATACTGCTTAGACACGTTTATTCTGAAAGCGTAAACTCCTGAAAGATGCAGCGGCCGAGTGGTTAATGACGTGGGATATCAGGATGCAAAGTGTTAGTTCCACCTCCACTTCAGCGCTTTTCGTAATCACCTGGGAACACTTTAGCATGGCTATCTTCGATTCGCGATAGATTCGAACTGACCAGTACTCTGTATAAGAGAGAAAAAAAAGCTGATGCTCTTTTCCATGGCTGCCTGGTAGAGAAGCAAAAGCAAAACTTTACAGTAACGATGCATAGATGGACTGTAGTACTTGGCTCCCAAAAAAGGTCCTCAACACCCGCGTAAAATTCAAATTTTATGCTTGTTTCACTCAGTATCGGTTGCTGTAAATTGATGGAACATCTCAGGAATGGTTCATAAGATATTCTCAATCACGATCGGAGTAAACGTTGGTTCCAGAAGGCCAAGCTCTGCCATCAATTGCACGTCAAAATCCGTCTGCCAAAAAAGGTCACGATCTACGTTTGGTGGACTTTGAAGGGGTCTTGCACTTCGATCTAGTTCCAAATGGTGCGCCATGAGGGATGAACTCTTTGCGAGCAGCTGGACTGAGTCCACGATGCGTTGAAAGGAAAGTACCCGACATTGATTCTTCAAAGGGGCGCGCTGCTGTGGCAAGACAATGCCAAACCTCATACCGCAAAGAAGACCGAGAAAAAGTCATTGATGAATTGGAAGGAGTCGAGGTGTCTTCCCGCACCGCACCTTATGCTAAATGGCAACAAGGAAGCAAACGTTATAGCCCTATGAAAACGAGATGACGAATGTTGTCGTGTTTGTCTCGTAGCGGAAGAATTGCCTGGTTCTGACTGTTTAGTCCGCATGTAAATCGATGTGATATGCAACAAATATGTAGTTTAAATATTAAGACCATTGAACTTAGAAAAGCGGGTAGTGAGGTTAAAGCTAAAGGATAAAGGATACAGCTCTCAGCGTTGATCAATCCCTGAGGGATGCACCATGCATTCGAATTCAATTTTTAACTTCGTTTGAGGTGATTGAATGCATATCTAGCCTTTACAATGACTCGCAGTGGCCTCCCGCTGAACCGAGTCAGTGCTGCTTATCCTCCCAGACAAGTCTAAGACCAGTCTAGTACCAATTTACCGACCCCGGAAGGATGGATGGCTTGGTGAGCATGAGCGCGAGGTCGAACCATTGACCTCGTGTGCGACGCAGAGCAGTAGTAAGGTTAATAGAGATTATTCGACAGAAAGTCTATATACTCCCCACCTGGGAAATTTGGAGTATCCTGTTGTGAAAGCGAAGTTGCGATCCGGTAATCGATCAAATTTGAAGGATAGCGTAGTCTCCATACACCTAACCTACAGCCCAGACACTGCGTCGTCCGATTATGATCCAATTTTCGCTTAATGGAACATTTCCTGCCTGGACGCCGATTGGAATCGAGACATTTGACATCAGGTTGAAGAGGCATGTCAGGAGCTTTTCGATTCAAACGGCCCAAAAAATGGATGCATTCGAGCCGATCTGGAGGCTCGCAGATCGTTGGCAGAAGATCGTCGGGACAATGATGGTCTTTATTTCAAGAATGAATACTTTTGATTCTAACTGAATTTATGTGAACACTCTCAATCTAATCCTCAACATATAACCTACATCATGTTTTTTACAGCAGCAATTTTACAATGAATTCATGGACACATGATCGTTTTTTCACGCTTAATCTAAATCTGAGGGTGTCGTGGCCGAGTGGTTGTGATACTCGTCGCGACGCTCGTGTAGTAGAGCTCTATCCGCAACACTCTCCGGCAGTCAAAAAGAACGCCCTATGGAACGCCACAATCAGACTATTCTCGAGATTGCAAGGAGCCATGCTCGACTAGTATTTTACGTCATTCGAGAAGAAGACAAAAAAAACGAATTGAACACTAGAAGTACTGGGATCCGTACAGTAAAAATTGTGATGACGAGTTGTGTTAATAAAGGATAAAAGAATAAAGGATAAAGCTCTCGGCGTTGATCAATCCCTGAAAGATGCACCATGCATTCGACTTCAATTTTTTAACTTCGCTTTGAGGTGATTGAATGCACATCTGGCCTCTACAATGACTCGCGGTGGCCTCACCGCTGAACCGAGTCAGTGCTGCTTATCCTCCCAGACAAGTCTGAGACCTGTCTGGTACCAATTTACCGACCTCGAAGGGATGGATGGATGGCTTAGTGAGCCATGAGCGCGAGATTGAACCGTTGATCCCATGTACGGACGCATAGCACACTCTAACCACTGCGCCACATGCGCTCATAGTTAAAGTTGTATGAACAGATAAAAAAAATAGTAGTTATCCTAATCTGCTCAATCCTACAGAGAAAAAAAGGAAGTGTGATCTTTGTTGTAAGACCAATGACCGGACCGACTGAGTAAATCTCATAAAATAAATCCCGTTGTAGGTCAAAAATCAGCGATCAAAAATCTATTGCAAATTTCAGGCAGAAACTTTCCGTCTACTAGATGAAAAAGGAAATAAAAAGACATTTAAAAACTATCTCAGTCTATAAATAGCTAGGACTTATCGATATTTCGCCACGGGAACACGACACAGAGCCAAGAGCCACTTTCGAAAGTGAACGGAATCGCAAGATCAATGATGAATGAGTCATTAGTGATGTCAAGGCTGATATCACATCGATGTAGGGGCAAGCCACTCTACTAGCGAAGGAGTCGCAACAACGATAGATCGGATTTGGGGGGAAACTCGCCGCCTTCAAACCCACGTGAGAACCGATTGCCATGTGGAAAAACGGTGATATCATGGAGAACACACAACCCGTGACGCCGAAAGATGCTGGTCCGTGTCTACGGCACGAGGAATCAAATGGAGGAGTCGGGATTATCAGGGTGATGCACGGCCCGACACGGGTCTGATCCAACGACGGCGACGCGGAACCGACCGACCGACTTCCGGGAGCTCCTTGTGGGGAAATAAGCGATGACGTGGACGTATACGTCTCACAGCGGCCGCGGACTCCGATCGATGCCGCCAGTGGGCGGAGCGAGGAGGGGCGGGCAGGCGTGTCGGCCGCTGGCGGCGATCGCTCGCCGTTCGCGGCATCACTGCAGCGACTACTCGCTACTGCCTGTGGCGGGTGGCGACGCGGCGGAGTGTCCTGCTGCTTGGAGACGGGGGGTTCGGTCCTGCGGCTGGTAATACTTTGCTATAAAGCGAAAAGCAATTTTGTGGGTTTTTTTTTGGTTTTAGCAAATACGAGGTTGTTGATACACGTTTATCTTTTTAGTTGACCGTTACTGCCGTGGTACGGTGTTACAGTATACAAAAAAAGAAAGAGAAGAAAAGAAGGGAAAGAGTGAGATCCGGGTTCGAATCCCGGCTGACCGCAAATGTTTTTGCACAGCACTCCACATTATTGAGATACACGTTTATTTTGTACAAATTAGTACAATAAAGATCGCCATACTGGCATGCGTTATCGTAAAGTAACCAGCTGTATTTGACTCACCGTGTTGTTGTTTTGTCATCCACTAAATATATAGACCAGCTTCAGTGCGGCTGTTCTACATATTGAGTGGATAACAAAACAACGAAACGGGAGTCAAATATAACTGGTTACTTTACAATTTAGAATAAAATTGTTTGCATAAACCAAGTGATGTAGAGTGGTGTGCAAAAACGTTTGCGTCAGCCGGGATTTGAACCCAGATCTTACTCTTTCCTGGAGCATGTGCTAAACCGTCGCACCAGCGACGCTCGTTTTGCACTCCACTCTTTCTACGCTACAACGCGTTATCTGTCAACATCCAACCGTCTACGGTGTGGCGGGGCAGTCATTATCGACATTAAACCCACTTTTGTTGACAGATATTGGGTTCAATAATCAATCGGAAATCATCTTTATTTGACCGCCGATTGCGGTGTTATGATGTTTAGATAAACCCAATGATGTAGAGTGGTGTGCAAAAACGTTTGCGTCAGCCGGGATTTAAACCCAGATCTTACTCTTTCCTGGAGCAGGTGCGCTACACCGTTGCACCACCGAAGCTAAATTGTTTGCGCTATTTTTCTTGCTTTGGTTATGAAAGAGTTTGGCCAAGTTGATGCACGTCAATATGGACTCTTTCAGGCTCTGTGGAAGACAAGATTACTGGAAAGTTAGCCACCCGATACGATCTTTCCTCAAAGGAATGGATTTGTACAAAATAAACGTGTATTAACAACTTCGTGTTTGCTGAACCAAAGAAAGTAACGGATTAATTCAGTCAATGCCGAATTTGTCAGTCGGTCTTGGGAAAACAATTTATTAAATAACGCCGATGAAATACGAATTGATTACAGTGACAGTCTTGGTCGACGACAAAGAGAACCTGTTGGTTCAAGAACATCGTCGCTAAAGTGTGCCCATAGGTGGATGCTGGACTTTGACGAAAACTCTTTTCTCAGTTGGCACGATCAGTCAGTGACTTATGTGGTTTGAAACGATAGGGGAAG